ATCATTAGTTACTAGAGAAATGTATACTAAAAGTGCTACCAGGGGGCAGGTGTTTGGTGTAGCAGTTAAGACACTAGTTGGGATGCTTGTATTCCAAATGGGAGTGCCCTGATTCAAGTCCCAGCTCTGTTCCTGATTCTAGCTTCCTGATACTGGGCACCGTGGTAGGCAGCAGGTAATAGCTCAGGTAGTTGGGTCCTTGCCACCCATATGGGAGACAGACCTGGATTGAATTCCTGGATTCTGGTAAGGCCCTAGCAGTTGCCAATGTTTGGAGAGCGAATCAGTGAATGGAAGCTTTATGTCTCTTTCTCTCTCACATAATTAAGATATTACTTCACATCCAATAGAATGGCTATAACAAAAACAGGCAATAAGTGTGGTAGTGAGGGACTGGTGCTGTGGCCTAGCAGGCTAAGCTTCTGCCTGCAGTGCCAACATCCCATCTAGGCACTGGTTCATGCCCCTCTTCTGATTTAGCTCTCTGCTATAGCCTGGAAAAGCAGTGGAAGATAGCCCAAGGACTTGGGCCCCTGCACCCACGTGGGAGACCTGGAAGAAGCTCCTGGCTCCTAGCTTTGGATTGGCCTGGCTCTGGCCATTGAGGCCATTTGGGGAATGAACCAGCAGATGGAAGACCTTTCTGTCTCTCCCTCTCTCTGTTTGTAGCTCTACCTCTCAAATAAGTAAATAAAAAATCTTTAAAAAAAAAAAAAAAGAAAAAGAGCAATAGTGAGGATGTGGAGGAACTGAAACTGTCATACATTGCTTGTGGGAATATAAGATAGTACATTCATTCTGGGAAACAGTTTTTGAAGTTTCTTAAAACATTAACATAAATTTACCCTCTTACTAAAATTTCTTCTCAATATTTTTGTCATTTTTTAAGAATGTGCAGGGAATGGCATTGTGGTGCAGCAGGTAAAGTGGCTGCCTGCAGTGCCGGCATCACATATGGGCACTGGTTTGAGTCATGGCTGCTCCACTTCGGATCAAGCTCTCTGCTATGGCCTGGGAAAGCAGTAGAGGATGGCCCAAGACCTTGGGCCCCTGCAAAGTGAGAGACCCAGAAGAATCTCCAGGCTCCTGGCTTCAGACTGGCGCAGCTCCGGCTGTTGCAGTTTAAACATTAGCAAATTGTCTAAACATTGTCTAAACATTAGCAAATTAATAAGTGTGAAATATTCACTAGATAATAAAGATTACTCTATTTTAAAAATGAACTTGTCTTTATCTTTGAATGATCTACATTTAACAGTCTTCATAATGTAAAAAAAGGGAATAAATATTTCACTTAACAATAATAACCTAAAAAGTAGAGCTCAGTAATCTCAGAGAATTTCACAAAGAAAGGATAATATCAAAGGCAGTGATGTAATAGAACGAGTATGATTTGGGAGTTAAAATTTTTCCTGCACTTGAATGTGGGCTCTGCTATTTACTAGCTCCCCTATGCTGGGTAAATTATGGAACATCTCTGATCTCTTTGTTTCTTATCTGTAAAAAGAAGAAACATTATAAATGCTAAAACAAAATCAGTAGGCCAGTGTTGAGGTATAGTGGGTTAAGTTGCTGCCTGTTCCTTACAGGCACTGGTTCAAGCCCTGGCTGCTTCACTTCCAGCTCTCTGCTAACGCACTTGGGAAGGCAGTGGAAGATGGCTTAAGTGCTTGGGCCCATGCCACCCATGTGGGAGACCTGGATGAAGCTCCAGGCTCTTGGCCATTTGGGGACTGAACCAACGGACAGAAGATCTCTCTTTGTCTCTCCCTTCTCTAACTCTGCCTTTCAAGTAAATTAATTACTTAAAAAATCAAATTCCTGGCCTAATGCCTGACAAAGGAAGCACTTGTTACTAGTACCCACACGAGAAATTCTGTTTTACAGCAAAAGCTGCAAAAACTCAGGTCCAACAATTTTTGACTACTTTTCTTGCTCTCTGCTATTTCTTGCTTAAGTGAAGGATTCATCTAGTTTAACGAGTTTGGACCAAACTAGATTACACACTGATAGCAATGAGATTAGTACTCCAACAACTTTTATTAACTCATTCACTCAGTAAGTGTTTACTTATTAATTTTGTAAAATTTACTTATTTTTTAATTACTTGAAAGGAAGGAAAGAGAAAAAGGAAGGGAGGGAGGAAGGGGGAGAGAGAGAGAGAGAGAGAGAGAGAGAGAAATTGATTCTATTTCATCTGCTGGTTCACTTACCAGATGCCTACAATAGATGTGGCTAGGATGGGGAAAAACCAGGAGCCTGGAACTCAATCCGGGTCTCCCATAAGGGTGTCGGGACTCAAGTACTTGAGCCAGAACCTGCTGCCTCCCGGGGTGCACATTACCAGGAAGCTGGAAAAAGGAACATAGCAGGCCAGGTACCACTATATGGGATGTGGGTGTCCCAAGAGGCATCTCACTAAAAAGTTATCCAGTACATACTATTGACTAACTTCTACATTCCAGCTAGAGCTCTGGGCACTGTAGATACATTCAAATAATGTGATTGAGACATACTGAGATCAGTGAGCTTCTAGGGTTGAATTTGCGAACTGGTACCCTTACACTGATATTATAGTCAATATTCAAGTAGGCAAAGATGGTGTGGTAACAGTCTATCAATTTTAAGAATGAATAGGGGTTTTTAGAAGTCTGAATGAAGTATAAATCCTTCACATTAAAATATAAATTGAGGGGTTGGTGCCATGGTACAGTGGATTAATCCTCCGCCTGTGGCGCCAGCATACCATATGGGCACCCTTTCTAGTCTCAGCTGCTCCTCTTCCAATCCAGCTCTCTGCTGTGACCTGGGACAGCAGTAGAGGATGGCCCAAGTCATTGGGCCCCTGCACCTGCGTGAGAGACCTGGAAGAAGCCCCTGGCTCCTGGTTCTTGGCTTCGAATCGGCGCAGCTCCGGCCATTGTGGCCATCTGGAGAGTGAACCAATGGAAGGCAGACCTTTCTGTCTGTCTCTCGCTCTCACTGTCTGTAACTCTACCTCTCAAATAAAATAAATAAAGTCTTTTAAAAAATATAAATTGAAGGGGCTGGTGTTGTGGTATAGTGGGTAAAACCACTGCCTATGATGCCAGTATCTCATATGGGTGCTGGTTCAATTTCTGTGTGCTTCATTTCTGATCCAGTTCCCTGCTAATGCCCTGAGAAAAGCAGCAGAAGATAGCCCAAGTGTTTGGATCCTACCTGCCCACATGGAAGACCTGAATTAAGCTCCTGGTTCCTGGCTTTGGCCTGGCTCAGCCTTGGCCATTGTGGCCATCTGGGGAGTGAACCAGTGGATAGAAGATTCTCTCTCTCTCTCTCTCTCTCTCTCTCTCTCTCTCTCCTATGTCTCTCCCTCTCTCTCTGTGATTCTTGCACATAAGTAAATAAAATGTAAAAACAAACAAACAAAAAAGTAGAAAGAACAAAAGTGCATGTCTGGTACCATGGAACATTTTCTTAACACAGCTAGGAACTTAGCTAGGAAACTGGCCTGAGCTAGAAAGCAAGCGTGATTGAAATATATGTGTGTGCATCTGTGTGTGTGTATGAAGTAACCTACTATTTAAGTAGATGGTATGAAATAATTTCATATATTTGAAAGTACCAATTTACAGATTGAGGAGTAAATATATATGATATTCCCTCAAAGAGTGGGAGAGTAGATTGCAGATTATTTATAAGGTGTTTTAAACATGGGTCTATTGCATCAGCAACAATTTGCTGAAATAAAATATATTAAAAGTAAAATATTTCTTGGAGATGGGACACATGGGCTATAATATAGAGGGGAGCATGTGACAGACAATAACATTCAATGAAAGTTATACAAAATCAGGGAAATGTACAAAAGAAATATATATTATATGATTCTTCTTATATAAAATATTCACAATAGGCAAATCTAAAGAATAGAAAGTGGATTAGTGGCTGTCTAGGACCACCTGGGGGAATGCAGATGGTTGAGGAAATGGGAGGAGATGTTAAAGGGGATGGGCTTCTTTATGGGGTAATAAAAATGCTCTAGAATTAATTGTGCTGATGATTGCACAATGTTTTGAATAGACTAAATTCATTGTTTTTTCACGTTAAATGATTGAATTATATGGTATGAGAATTATATCTCAATAAAGCTCTTACAAAAAGAGGGATTAAAGGAGCCAAGAACATTGCAACATGTGGACCTTATTTTAATTCTGACTCAAATAAGCTGTAAAAACAAAATAAAATATATTTATAAGAAAGTTAGAAAAGCTTGTGAGTGATTGAAATAGGGTAAAAATATATATTTTGAGATATTGGTTTATTGATACAAAATTCCTCAACTGACAAGAACAATAAATAGCACTAGCAAGGTTATATTGTAAAATGATTAATTTCCATGTACCATAATGACATTGTGATTAAAATCTCTTCAAACATGGATATAAATATATTAAATCTATAAAATCCTCACATGCAAATATCCTATTTGCACATTTCTTATTTGAACACCAGACATCTGTCATACAGATAAAAATGTAATGACATTTCCTTAGAATATCTACAAAATGGGTGTTCTCCTACAGTCAAGTATACTACATTATAAGGCATCTTTCAAGACTTAAGTTTCCTACATAGAAATATATCCAACTGTAATTTTTTCCTGTGCAGATTTAGCCAGTAGGAAAAAAAGTAAGGAATGGGCATTTATTTGAAGCATTTTGGAACACGTTCTATTAGTCAACAGATGCATATCTGATTGCCTTCTCCTAAGGGAGTGAATGTAAATGAATTACCATTCCTTGATTAGTCTTCATGAAAGGAAATCCACTCTACGATAAAGAAGGCTGTCAAGACTACAGTAAAGGCCTCCTTTCTTTTTTCTTAAATTCTAACCTTGTATTTATAGATTGTAATTTGCAATCTGTAATATTTAAAAATGAAACTACAGAATAATTTAATTTCCTTATAACTTCTCAAACCAAACAAACCAAAAACAAGACAAAAATCTCTCTTACCATCCTGTTGATCCGTACAAAGTCTTCAGGTTTTTTTGCCCAAGGGGGAAGGTCAACATCATTTACTACCACTTCATCTTCTCTGACTCCAAGATTATATCCATTGCTGTTGACAAACATTTCTGGCAAGTAGTAGAACTCAGGAATTAGCTCCTGCCAGGAATTAAAAACAGTACATTGAACCATTCTATAGAAATCTGATGGATAAAACTATTTACTTATAACTTATTAACTATAAACAAAATTAAAGAAGTGCTTTACTTAAAACCTGTATTACTTTACTCTTTATTGAACTTTAAGGATCTAAGAAGAGAAGACAAAACATTTCTCTTGAATAATTTGCTTCATAGTCTGTTTATAGCATATAGTTTTTAAAAATGTTACCCATTTTCAATCATCCTGCCATAAATCAAAAGAAATGGATGTACAAATGAACAACAGTTCACGCTAGCATTAGTAAACAAATATGTTAAACTACCTCAAGTCTCTTGCTTTAAAACTGTTTCTGAATATAATGTACTACACAAAATAAAAAGGATGCATCAACATTTGTCAAAGATTACATAATATTTTCTACTTTTCTTTGTGATTATACTGGCAAATACATGATTTTCATAAAGATATTCATAGTTTCATTTTTTGACAAAATAAATTACTTTGATACTTACTACTGAGCACAATGAAGAGACAATGTGCATGATAATGAACTTTAAATATTTAAGCCATGCTACTGGAATGGTAGGCTCTTAATAAGGTGAAGCAAAAATAACTCGTGTTACTTGCATACAAACCTGAATTTACTGAACAGCATCTACAATGGGGTTTACATTACTTTAAAATGCATCTGATACTGAAGTGAATTGATTTTAAATTCCTAAAAGGTTTTATTTGTTGCTCTATTTTTTAGAAAAAATGACCAGGAGAAAATGAAAAACAAAAGACAAATCTCTGTAGTTTTTATGTAAACCATCTATCTACATTGTCTTTATTCAAGTATCAAAATGAGAGCTAAGATTACTTTAAATTATACTGTGAAGAGAATAGGTAATTTGTTTGTGTAATATGATCAACTTTGATGATGCAGTACCTGAAATTTGAAACTCACTGTGTTTTTCTCTTGGGATGCTTAGAAAAAATTTAAAACCTCCAGAAATTGAACTCTTCAAACAGATTGAATCATTGACTTTCTAACAAAGGCATTTAAAGGTTTCTCTTCATAGGTTCAATTTCTGTCTTGGTTATGGGTCTCTTTAGGTTTTCTATGTCTTCATGGTTCAATTTAGGTAGGTTGTATGTATCCAGGAATCTATCCATTTCTGCTGCTAAAGCAACATATCTGGTATAGCACAATAAGTTTTGCTTAGTAATATGCTGTGTGAATCCGGTCATTAACCATTTGTATGATGTTAATTGTGAATCATAAGAAAATATAATTAGGTTCCTTTTCTCTAGCATATTGGGAGCATAAACAATTCATATGAGATGAATTTTCTGGATAAATGAAGCTTAATTTTTAGGAATTAGAGTTTTAAATAGAATAAAACTGATTTTATATTTCCTTAGCGATTATTACTTTGCACAGTAAAGGTTTTCAGTACCAGACACTGTGATAGGTACTCAGAAAACAACAAGCTTGCTGTCAAGTAATTCATAGCCTGGTCTGTGAGGCAGAGGTGTAAATAGGTGGTTATAATACCTGTGAGTAACAGCTGTTGAAGAAGGGAGCATGGTGGGGGGAAGTTTGAGCAAGTCTGAAAAGACTTCTGTGGGGACTAGATATTTGAGTTCACTTACGGCTAAGATGAAGATCAGGGAAGAAGCAGAAACAATGTCGGCAAGTATTATCAAGGACTGGTAAGAACTTGAGTTCTTATCAGGAAAGGGTGTATGGGAGTGGGTAGGTCAAGATAAGGGGATGAGACAGTGGGAGGTTTCCGAGGACAAATAATGAAAGAAGTTTTAGAAAGACAAGGCTGCTTCAATTTTATCTATTGTCAACAGAAAATTTCAAGAGGAGCTATTGATCACATTTGTTTTATAATAAGATATTGGGTGACAAGGCAAAGGATAGACTGGAGAGAGGAAAACTTTGTTTATCACATATGTGTATGCAGACAGGAAAGGCAGCAGCTTCAAAAGCAGGAGAGGAGGGAGAAGGGCAACGAGGAGGTGTGGAAAGTAAGGAGACACATGATAAGGAGACTTATTAAGGAGGGTCATCTGCAACAGAGCTGCCAAGGTCCGCAAGAACTGTGGGCAAATCAGGGAATTAGATGGCTTACACTGAGAGGCAAATATGTATTAACAATAAGCTATGTACAAGATGTAAGGTCACAATGGACTGTGAGAAAGAATTCCTGTGAAATTAACATAAATGAATGTAAATTTTCAGTGACAAAAATGGAAAAGGGGCTAAAAGAAAAATAATGAGATAAACATGCCATTTTGCTTATAATACTATTGCTTAATTGAAGGAAAAGACAGAGGCAAAGGGCGCCTCAGCAAAATCCTGTGAGCGATGATTAAAATGAGTTTGCTCCAGACTGGGTAAGCATGACAGCATCTATCTGTCACTGAAGGGGCAATCTGGCAAAGGCGTATGATCTCTGATTGGAAGGCAGAACACTGCTCTGCTCATGGATGTGTACCCCATCAGAAACGCATAGTTGTTATCTTTGACTTCAGTGTATGACCATAAGGCATACAGTTTTCTTCCGTTTCTACTCCTAATGTTAGGAAAGACACGTAGGAAATAGTAGGAGGTGCAGAGAAGGCACTGCTGCATGCATAATCCCTGTTCTTTATATGACATTGAAGAGAGGTCCAAAGGAGGGGAAGGCATGTGAGCTCAAAGAGTTGCTTGTTTTGCAAGGTGACCTATACGTAACAGACTCACACTTAAGACAGGGATCTCCCTCATTGCCTTTCATGTTATTTGTGTTTGGGATCTATCTCTAAAGTGAGACTGTATAAGCTTCCTTGAGGACAGAGAGGGTTATATGAGGGCACTTCAAAAAGTTTGTAGAGAAGCAGAATTAGAAGACATTTACTTTGGTACAAAGAAAGTTTCTGAAACCCATGCATACTTTTTCAAAATATAAATTTTCCATATACTTTTTGAAGATTCCACATATGCATGGATTTCAAATTTTCCACCAAAAATAAATTCAATTTAATTCCATTTTCTATGACTTTTTAAAATTATCCCTTATATTCACATGGATATAGCAACATAGATTTGTTTTTCTATTTGAATAGCCCAAAGAGTCCCAATTCATTTTCCGGTGTCTTGGTGTTGTAGGCAGGCATACAGGCTAAAATTGATTAGGTTTGTGAACTGGAAGACCACGTCTTCACCACATTTTTGTGTGACCTCATGCCCCTACCTGACCGCACTATTGTGCCCACTGGCCAGACTAATTAACCAACTCCCCTTTAGAAGTGGATTAAAGGCCTGGAACACGATGGGCCCAGCCCTTTTTGGCTCTTTTTTGGCCCTTTTCCCTTTTGTCGAGGACCAGCTTGCTGCCCCTGTGCCTCCAAAGGCCATGTTCCCCAGGCTTTCTGGCCTACATGCTCCTCCACATGGCTGGCTCCTGGTGCTCTGTATGAATCCAGATTTCTCTCTCTCACTCTCCTATGCATTTCTCTCACTGAATAAAAAGTTTAAAAACTTATCATGCTGCCTCATTTATTTGTTCCAGTATTCAGAATTCTTCACTGAATATCAGGCAAGAACTCACAGTGCTTATTAATATTCTAAGTTTATTAATAAGCACACAGTAAAATAATTGGTACCTGATACCCCGATAATACTTCGCAACCCAGATGGGACTTTTAAAGAGGTCTGTCTCCAATAACATTGGTACTCTATATAGTTTTTCCTATATTACTTCCAATTCTTTCCTGTAGAATAAGGTCATATGAAATGTTTGGTTATTATTAACTTACTCACCACTATAATAAGATTTCACTGAATGTCATTAAATTGGATCCACAAAAGCACAACATAAGATTTTATGTAATTAACATCTTGGGAAAAAGTAAAATTTTCAGTCTATTTTGTAAGGTTTATATTTTGTTGAATCCCTCTTAGTTCTTGGTGTTATACTTTGCATGCAGCAGGTGCTCATTAAGTTTTAAGCTACTGAACATATTAGATAAAGTTATTTTAATATCACTAGAAATCTCTGGAGGAATTTGCAGATGGAAGGCAGAATGCCAAGACAAGAAAAGAGCCAATGAAGAATTTTTTTAAATTAAATAAAAAGGATGAACCGTGAAATGAATTCTGTACTTTTTGGGGGGAAATTTTTACAGTTTAAAAAATGTTATTTTGCTTATCTAACATCTTAGCTAAGCTTTAAAAGGTTCACAATTGTAAACAGTTTAATCTGAATACAGAAAAAGTTGGTTTTAAAGTTTCCAGCTGCGGAAGTAGCAGAAGAAAAATTCACTTCATTTTAGTTTAACCACTCTAAAAAGGAGGACTTGGGGCCGGTGCTGTGGCTCACTTGGTTAATCCTCCCATATGGGTGCCGGGTTCTAGTCCCAGTTGCTCCTCTTCCAGTCCAGCTCTGTGCTGTGGCCCGGGAAGGCAGTGGAGGATGGCCCAGGTCCTTGGGCCCTGCACCTGCATGGGAGACCAGGAAGAAGCTCCTGGATCCTGGCTTCAGTTCGGTGCAGCTCTGGCTGTAGCGGCCATTTGGGGAGAGAACCAATGGAAGGAAGACCTTTCTCTCTCTCTCTCTCTCTCTCTCTCTCACTGTCTATAACTTTACCTTGTCAAATAAATTAAAAAAAAAAAATGGAGGACTAATTTACATGCTATCTAGACTAACCAGATTTTTTCAAGTACTTCAGATTTTGGTTTATGTAGAAGTACACACTCAGTTTAAACAGAATGGTTTAAATTAAACTGGGACTTAACAGCTTTTTTGAACTTGGTTAACTTGAAGAGTTTTCTCAAAGATGGCTGTAACAATTCCTCCCCTCCCCTGAGCCTTGTAGCATTCCCACATCACAGCTCCTCCTGTAAGTGGTAGAATCTATTCCCCTCTGCATGTGGGCTGGTTTGTTTGGGCACACACAATGTGACAAAGTGACACTTAGGGCTTCTAGAGAAGCCTAACACTGAAGAGGCTGTGCAGCTT